TCTACCGTCAAACTCATTTGATATTATCTTCATAGTTGTTGATTGATTGACCAAGATGGCATATTTTATACCTTGTAAGAAGTCAATTACTGGTGAAGAATCAGCAAGACTCTTTATTGATAATGTCTATCATTAACACAAATTTTCAGATGATATTAAGTCAGATCGTAGGCCACAATTTGTATCAAGGTTTTCGAAGGCACTCTTCAAGATTCTTAAGATTAACATCAACCTTTCTTCTGCCTTTCACCTTCAAACTGATGGTCAAATAGAGCGGAGCAACAAAATTCTTAAACAATATTTGAGATGCATCATCAACTATCAATAAGATGACTAGACTTCTTACTTATTTTTGGCAAAGTTTGCATATAACAATACAATCCATAAATCTATGCAACAAATGCCACTCTACTCAAACTATGGTCATCATCCAAAGTTGGATATGATAGAGCCTTCAAAGTCGATAAATCTAACAGCAGAGGAGTTTGGTACAAAGATTTTCGAACTTCAAGCAACCATGAAGACTCACCTAGAAAGGGCTCAACAACGTTGTAAACTACTAGTGGATGAATTGATGAAGGAACATCCTCCATTTTAAGTTGGTGACAAAGTGTGGCTTCTTTGGTATAATATAAAAACCAACATACCATATAATAAGTTAGACTACCAAAAGTTGGGACTATTTGTGATTCAAAAATAAATCAATAACGTAACTTATCGCTTAGAGTTACCTTCATTCATGAAAATTCATGCAATTTTTCATGTTTTACTTTTGGAAAGGTATAAAGAATCGAACATACCAAGTCAAAGACAACCACCACCTCCTATGGCATCATTTGGCATCTTTATTGTTGAAGTCAATGATCATGTTGAATTTTAGGTAGAAGAGGTATTAGATTCAAGAATAAGACCATTGGAATATATAACAGACACTATATGAGAGATCTTCAACTTCTTATGCATATATTGACTTGCAACAATATTACTTCTTAGAGACCTCGAAGCTAGATGAAGAGGTGATGTCACGAACATACAACTAAAGAAGAGTCGAGAAGGTTCTAAGAGATTCTAGAAGGTTTAAAGAAGGTGCTTGTAGATCCTTAAAAGGCTCCAATAGACTCTAAGAAGATTCCAAAAGGTTCCAATAGATTTTAATAAAGTTATAGATAGTCATAAGAGATCCTAAAAGGTTCTATAAGCCTTTAGATGATTCAAGAAGTTATCAAAGAAGGATCTTAGGCTTGCTTTATTTCCAAGCCTAATGGAAAATTTTTAAGAAGATTCTTAGAACCTAGTATATATAGGAATCAAGGCTGAGGAGATCCTCAGTCTTGACAAGTCACTTTTTATGGTCAAGCAAAGACCTTCTTGCCTTGTATCCAATTTTTGTTTTAATGTCAAGCTAATTCTATTTTTTGGTCTTGAATCCTTGTCTTGTATATGGTCCCTAAGATGAAGATCTTCAAGAATAATATGTCTTTTCTCAAATAGATGATAAGATACAACATATTTGGTATCATGACCTTGAAAGAGAATTTTGATGTTTGATAATTTTATTAGAGGTAGGAATAATACTTGAAGGTGTTCCAAATGTTTTATTTGAAAGAAGTTATGAAGGCCTCAACAACAATCAAATAATAAAGTAATCTTTTTGCCCTGATATGGAACACTATCAATGCCTAAGAGCCATCAACCATCTTCGATGAGAACAAAAATCAAAGTATGTGCCAAATACAATTTGTTGCATCTTAAATTTTATCAATACATGATGACTAATTCTTGTAGAACTCGTTCTTAGATGGGATGTAATGTCATAGATATACATGGATATTCTAATAAATACCTATATAATTAGATAGAAATAAATAAAAATAGATAAAAGTAAGTTAATTTCATAATACCTTATAGAAGAGCTTTCTAGAAGCTTTATAAATGCTGCTTTGACTTTTCATGTGTTTATAATTGATTTTTAGGTTAAAAACTTGGTCAAGAAGTTAACCACATGTTGGGAGCTTGCTACACAAACTACCTATGTGGCACACATATAAAAAAAAATTCTTGCAAGTTAAGATATGTATATTGCAAAGTCAATACATTTTAGAAGTTATATAGGATATTACTACGTAGTTCCTAGTTAAGAGTATATATGGAAGTAGGAGTGAAGCCTTCTTCACTATTATCAATGCCTTTCGAGTTCTTAATCTTGTTTTTAGACTTTTTAGTCTTCTTGTTTTTGCAAAAGCCATTCTAATTCAATAATATATCATCTTTGAATGACTTTCTAGTTCTTTTCATTGTCACAAGAGTGTATCGAGGATTTCTTTCTTCAAAATTCATGTCTTTGATACTGCAATCTATAAGCACACAACATTGATGTCCTCTTAGTTGTCTCATTAGATACATTAGTTGACCCTTTTTATAGTTTTCTGAGGCCATGCCATTTGTCTCTAAGAAGTAGCAGCTATCCCCAGTACTAGTCCTCGACACTTTTATTAAGGAGTTTTAGTTCCCTACTCCATCTCATTATCGACTTGGTGAGTCTTGAGAATATGAATCTTCCTTGATTTGTTGATGCTTAAATTTTGACATTTTGAACAACCTGTGATCTGATGACTTAGCTCTCGACAATAGAAACACAATCCCTTTTATTCTAATATTTGTCATCTTTGTAGTTTCAATGATCCTTGCAGGACATCAATCTCTATTACTATTGGTTGTTGTACCATAGTATTAAATAGTGACATAGAACTTCATACTATAGGTCGCACTCCACAACTTTTGAAATCTATTGCATCGACCTTTTTTACAATCCTAATTGTTTCTTCAAATATTTATAAATTTCTTAGTTCCACCTCTCATTGGATCCTACATTTCAATCCTTATAGAAATCAATCCATCATCTCTACCTCTCAAATATTATCAATTTAGAGACATAAGAACTTTAATTGGAAGACATAATCTTATATTGACCTAAATTGAGTAAGATTTGCCAATTAATTGTGTATTATCTTCTCTACATTGATGGACCAAAATTGATTCCTAAACTTGGTTGCAAACTCCTTCAAAACACCAAATCTACCTTAAGCTCCATAGCTTTGAACTCAATGTTGCCACCAAATGGCTATCACATCTTTCAAATAGTTGACTGTATACATAATTCGTTTGGTGGTATTTGCCTCAGATAATTAGAAGTATTGTCACATATTGAAGAACCATTGGTATACATATTCTTGCCTTGAAGTCTCAAAGTATATACTATGCTTACTCAATTTCAACCTAGCAGATGTCGACTCTCTTGTCTTAGAGGCTTCTATTTGCCGTTACAGAGTACCTATTTGGCCTAAGAAGTATTGTATATGAGCTTCCATCTAGGATTGCTCTGTCTTATCTTCCATGTTGCAATTTCCTTCTTTGACTCTACTATTGTAATGCCTTTTCTTTTTCTAGCTAACTTCTTAAGAGTAGTTCGTTAGAGCCAAATTTCTAACATATCAGTTACCTATAGATATGTATAAAGATAAAAATATATCAATAAAGCTCCTATAAAGCTTTTCTAAAATATATTATAAAATTAAACTATTTTTAGCTACTTCTATCTATTCATATTATCAAAGTAAGTATTAGAATAAATATGTATATTTGTGACATATAGCCAATTGCTAAGCAATATTGGTTTGTAGGCAATTGCTATTGTTTTTAAAAACCATGTAGTTTTTAATGGCTAAAAAAAAATCTAAATGTTGTCTCGCAATGTTCTTGCCATTTAGCAAAAATCAACATCATGCTCACTCATAAAATTGTTCAAAACATAATTGCGTAACTTTGATATAGACTTTTAAGAGAATATGAAGGAAGAGTTGGTAATTGTCAATACCTCCAAGTTTTTCTACATTAGCAATGTCAAAAAAGTTGTCTTAAAATATTTTGTCAATTTAGTGGCATTATTCTTTAAATATTTTATTAAAATCTTCATCAATTATTAAAGTGAAACAATTTAAGATCTTTGAGGATTTGTTATTTTTTTTAGCAATGAGACATGGTATTGGGTAGTGTAGTATGGAATTGAAGAGGGAAGTGATAAGTAATAAGATGTTTGATTTTTGAACTACCTCTCTTTTGATATTTTGATTTCGAAATCACCTTACTCATGAGGTAGGTGATTTGAAGAAGGATCAAGTGATATTTTGATATATCAAAGGATACTTCAAGAAAATATCATAGGTGAAATATCTATCAAAAAGTAGATGTTTGAAACCTCCCAATGATGAAACAAGGAACACATAAACATTTTAGTCCTTGTAAAAATTCTTTCAAATCAAACCAACAAGAACCAAGAAATAGAATGGAAGATGCTAACAGAATCACTATCTACACAAGTAAAAGAAATGAACAACTACCCCTTCCAACTTCTCTCGAAAGAAATTGTTCAACTTTCCAAAAGTTAATATCTCAACTATGGTAATCTTTGTGGACAACCCATCCACTGCACCTTCTTCTTCTGAGTTGGGGTTAGTAATATCTTCGAGTGAACAAATACCCAAAAGATTTGAGGAACCCTTACTCGAGGCACACTGGCGGGGTGGTGGTGGTTGTGAATCTGGAGAAGGTGGAAGAGCGCGTGTGATAGAATCCCCTCCTCCGCATCATCATCTCCTGTCGTGTTCTTGGATACCACGCTGTTGGGGATAGATATGCGCCCATCTTTTTGTCCCTTCCCCTCCCTTCCCTCCCTTTTCTGGATCCAGATCCATGTTGTTCATATCCACCGTGCGTGCTTTCCAGGTCCAGAGGGGGGTAGTAGTAGGATGGATGACGAGGACGAGGAGGAGATATTGGGAGTCAAGGGAGGTCGGTAGTCAAGACACAGAGCGGCATGCGGGGGCACGGCTAACAATCCACAGCAGCCACATCAGCAGCACCGGATGGATAGGGCTGGGGCGAGGGGCGGGGCAGGGTTGCTGTGCAAAGGGGGGCCGTGGAGACACGCCACTTGCACTGACTGCCTCTGGATGTCTCCTTCTTCTGCTGCTTTGTGATCCCATGTACTAATGTCGCAGCCTGCTTCCCTGGCTTCATGTTTCCGCGACACTGCTTCTCTTGAGACCTCTTTTAAACCTCACTGCACTCCTTTTTGCTGCGTACTCGAGGTGGGTTTCTGTGGTTTTTTGTGTGTTCGGTGATTTTGTTGTGGTTGTTGTCGTTGTCGTCTTCGTTCTGCTGCGGTCTGCAGGATTGTGGTTGGTGGATGTTCAGAGTGCGTGTTCGTATCGCAGGAGTGGTTCTCATGATTGATTTATTTCGCCGAGCCTGATAGTACTTTGTTATGCTGTAGAAAGGAAGATTTGTGTGATATTTAGATTCGAGGAAGCTGTGTTGAAAGCGTTCTGGGTTTTAGTGAGTTACTTGAATCCGAGAATCGAGCTGCCCTTCAGCAGGGAAGATAATTAAATAAGGCGGCTCTCGGCGGAGACGCATTCTGCTGAAGAATCGAAAACTGATCGACAGAGTTGGAGAGGAGTAGGACACAATGGCGGCGATTTTAGCGACGGGGCAGGCAGCGAGCGTGGCCTGCTGCAGCAGCGCTAGGTTACCGCAGAGCAACGCAGCTGGAAGGGCGGGTCTGAGCTCTTCATTCTTGAGGCTGGAATCCACTGTCGCTGTGTCCAGCCTCAATTCTTCTTTCCATGGCCATGCTTGCCTTGATGTATCGAATTTCGGGAAGAGCGGCGTGGAAATGCAAAAGGGGAGGGTCACCACGTGCATGGCCTGGGGCGGTACTCTTGCTGGCGTGAGGCTCGTCATCCAGGGCAAGCATTTGGAGGTACAGAATCCTAAAGCCTTCAGTACTATCGGTGTGGGTACCGCTGTTTTTCAGTTTTTTCAGTTAGTATTCAACATTGAATTTGATGTCGAGTCCTGTGGTTTTTTTTTTTTTTTTAATTTTTTCATATCTCGACATCGATTCTCCGCATTAGCTTTCGACTTCAGTGGATGGTTTGTGATGCTTAGAGAGGCTCTTCTGAGTTCTGACACTCGCGTTGTGGATGCCGTGACAACAGTTGACTGATGCCATCAAGCAGTACGTGGAAGAGAAAGTTGGCAATGCAGTCCACAATCAGAGTGCTCTTGTAAAGGAAGTTGATGTAAGAATGTCCGTCCGAGGCGGTGAAACAGGGCGCGGTGAAAGACTCCAAAGATGTGAGGTACGATGTTCCAAAAATCATGTCCGGAAGCATTTGAAGCATCACAATCTCTTTTATACCCTCCTTTATTTTCCATTACATCGGTCCCTTAGATACTCCGAGGTACTAGCCGCGAACGTCGATTTTTTTCATTTAATCATGGGAGGTTTTAGTTCGTCCTGGTTGGCATCAATGTTTTTGCTCTTCTAAGATAACTGGGCAATGTATCGTAGAATGCTTAAAGTATTATGTTGATACTCGTGAAGTGTTTACTGTGGTCGAACAACTACTTCATAATCCAACTATTCTTTCCTAATTATGAAGCGAAGTGCATTACTTCAATCGAGCGTCGAGGTTCTTGGTCGTCTGTGAAGTAGGATCACGTGTTGTCATCTTCAGATCTGATTCTAGCATTGTTTGCCTTCCACATTTCCTCACGATCTTAGGGGTTTTGTGATACGACTCCTTCGTTCTTCGTGTTTTTCGATTTCAGCCTATGGATGGCATCTATTCGATCGCCGCCACTACAACTACATAGTTGTAAAGGTGCACTATTGTCATGGAATGTTTTTTGAGCGATCAGCTGTCATTCTCGATTTCGGCAGATGTAATTAAAATTTGGTGTGACGCTTGTATGACAGGTTACGCTGTTTACCAAGAAGCACGGTGTTGTGAGAGCAGAGGAGGAGGCTGAAAGCATGTATGCGAGCATCGACAGGGTTTCAGACGTCATCTCAAGAAAGCTTCGGAAGATTAAGGAAAAGGATGGAGGCCACGGGCGCCCCGCCAAGTATTCACCTCGCATTGGGGAAGTCTTGTCTAACGAAGTTGTAGATCTGGATCCCATTCTCGAGCGGAAGCCTGATGATTTACCTGACGAGGTATGTTCTTACAAACTCAATATTTCTCCGTCCTTTTCTCAACGAGTGATATTTGTGTAGCGAATTCGGTAACAGCACAAACCAGCTTCAATGGTCCAGCTAAATTCATGCGGCGACTATAACCGCCAGCATGTAAGGCTTCTTGCATCTCCGGACAAATATGATCTTCACTAGGTAACTGGTCTATCATGTAAGTGCAGGTGGTTCGTACGAAATACTTTGAAATGCGCCCAATGAAGCCCCTCGAAGCTCTTGAACAACTGGTTAATGTTGGCCATGATTTTTACGCCTTCCGAAATGTTGAAAGCGGTGAGCACTTCTACGTTGTCTAAGTTATGACTAGTTATAGAATCGAGCTTATGTAATCTGCTGTAAATTGGGAACATTTTAAACGTAGCTCTTGCTTGGAATGTATTGCTATAACTTACCTATGAGTACAGCGTGCTTCCCCCGTAGGCATGGTTTTATTCATATTTGTTCATTGATGGGTTTGGATTGATCTGTGCAGGGGAGATTAACATCCTTTACAAGCGGACCCACGGGGGTTATGGAATAATTGTACCCCGAAATGATGAGTCCTGGGAGGCTGGCAATGGAGCATCAAAAATTAACTAGAAACGTCAGTGCCTAGAGTTCCACTGTAGAGTCATTTCTGTGAAGATCTAGTGTGGTCGATTGTAAGCTTTTGTCCAGGGGGTTAACTTGCTAAGACTAGAGACTTAGATCACATCGTCGGAACTCACCGTAGGAATTTTATTTCTCTTGGTTCCCAGATCTGCTTACATCACATTGCATCTTGTATCGTATTCCACGGACTTCAACTTATTCAGCCAACCTCAGAATGTGCAGTTCCTCCAAATAGAGAAAGCATCGGGCTTTTCCCACTTAAAACCTCGCCGAAATCTTGAAGATACTGGCAGGAAGCATTGTACACAAAGAAAAATGGGAAAAAAATGGAAAAAATGAAAGTATCACTTTTGGACAAAAACATTTGTAGGTGTGACATGTCATGGCTTTGTGAATGAACTTATTATTGCTCCAAAAGTGACTACCCAACCCAATTCAACTCAACTCAAGGCATGTGCACTTGTCCATGCTCCTATTTCTTCTCTCCCATGAACATGGGTAGACATCTAAACAGGGAATGACATGATCATCTTGTCATTGATTTTCAAGACAAGATTATGGGCTGCGTTGCAAGCATACCCAAAATATCCTACATGATGAATATTCCACTTGTTGCACATGCTGCTGGTTGTGAATGCACAGAATTGATCTCATTTGACCTTGTCACAGGCTGGGTCATTTCCTGCATCTCCCTCCAGTCTCAGTTTCAGAAACATCTACTTCCAAAATCATCAATCCTCCACATGAAGAAATCTTTGGTTTCTGAATGTTTTGATTCCTGTTTCTGTGGGTTAGAAAAGCAGATCAGCAATACTCTCAGTCTTCCTTATTAGGTGGAAAATCATGCTAATGAGGAGTTTAGTTTTTCTTTCTTCACTTATGGTATATCCCTTTAATTTATACCATGTCTTTGCAATGAAATGTGAGTTGTTTTGAGTGGGGTTGCCACATCATCTCCAGTTGTCAAAATCATTGTATATTGTATTTTATTTCATATGTCTACCACTTGAGTATAGTATTGCAAAAATAAAATATGAAAGAATATGATTTCACCTTGCGAAGATAATAACTTTGATAGTTTTACCATTAACATCATTAGCAATATTTCAATAATAAAATCTAAATATTTATTTTGTTTTCACAGAAAGAGTTTTTACCTTCTGAAAACACAACATTCTTGTGCTGCAGAATTTGAATTTGTACAACTTGTAGTGTTGCTTTCATTGATTAAAATAAATCACAGTGCAAAATAAGCTAACCAGATCAAAGCCAAGTTCTGAGCAATCAAGGTTGTGTTAAGGCCACAGTGATCTGAATTATCTTATAATGAATGTCAGGGAGCTGACAAACCAGATGCTTCAGCACAAATTTGCATGTGATCATGGCTCAACCAAGACATCAATCCAGCATTAATGGTTCTGAATTGCATCCCTAAACCTAATTTTTCCTATAACTATTTTAAGCACTGCATCTAATGCAATGTACAAATGATTGAACTTGACAAGCAGACCTCACATCCAAGTTCAGTGTATCTCTTAATCAAAATTTAGGAAATCAGTATATGCACATATTGTAGCTTTGTACATGCTCACTGTGTTTGTCACAACCCATGTCAGCAAATGCTGGTGGTTCTGACAGTTGATTGTTTTGTATTAAACTTTGATAGTCATGCAACAGTCAATGGCTTCAAACAACTACAAGAGCATTGGTTGTGACTTTTAGGCCACATACAAACATAGTGTTGTTTTAGATCTATCATTACTATTCCAAGTTATTGAGTTTCCAAGCGCTCGAGCTTGAGTGCAGTTGTCTTTTGGCTGTTGATAGCCAAGGGCAAATCCAAATTTTTCTTACTTAAAAAAATAAAAATAAAAATAAAAATCATTGTGCCTATGCTGATTGAACTATGAAAAATGAGAGGGATTCAAAAAAATAAAAATAGAAGTTGAGTGGTCTTGATGTTGTCTTGTGTGCTAAAGTGGCTATGTTTGTGACTAGCAAATGTCTGAGTGTCGGGGAGAGCTAGAGATATTAAAGCAGTAAATGAGGGCTTTGTTGACCCTGTGGGTGAGCTAGATCTAATAAATTTTGTGAGGTGGAGGGTCAAGTATGTTTGAGTTCATTAAGTGGGTAAGCAAACTAAGAGATGCTATTGATGTTTCTTCATCTTTGTGCCAAGAAGAATTTTTAGTCATAATGTGAATGTTGTTACCATTGAGGGGATAAAGGAATGTTAAGGGGCAGATTTTCATAGCACATTGTTTCCTCTGAAGTTTATGGAAATGAATAAAATAGAGTATATCAAAAAAAAAACAAAACAAAACATAATATATAATCAATGCTCCTCAAAAGCAGATTCCTTGTCGTAGTGTTGTATGTACTCACGAATTTTTTCAGAAAGATGTAAGAATCCTTTAAAATTCTTCAAAGAATTTCCCTTACACTCTATTAAAGGATAAACATAGCCAATATTTCTTCAAGTTGTGGCAAATCTAGGACATCTTCCTGCTAGTGTCAATCAATGCTAATACAGACAGAAAGGATTCAAATGTTAGTTCAATCACCTCATAAATTTACATGTTTAGAAGAGTAAATGGTGGGGAAATTCCAATACTAGTTACACCAGTTTCTGATTTCTTAGACACCTTAACAAAAACAAATAGAAGAAGAGTACAAAGCCATCTTGTTCTGTAGTACTCTTTGTAAAAATTATCATTCTATTAATATAACTATTTAAAATTATATATATATATATATATATAAAAAGTTTTGGATTCATGAAATTATATTGGAAAGTAGTATTCTGTATTTTGATACAATATTTCTCTCAGAAATATAAATAATAATTATTTTGTCAGTAGTTGGTTGTAGATTCTAATATGGTAATTTTTTTATTATTAATTTCTTAATTAGTGATGAGGGAATAATATCCGTTTAAATGCTTGACCCTTGTAAAGAAGACATGTCACTCTGATGTTCTTAGTCTCAATCACATTTAATTACTCAAAAAATTAATTTTTAATAATTTTGAGTAAATATTTTTTGGTATTTTAGACATGCACATTTACAAAAGATAGATATTTTAAGTTTTGTCTTTACTTAAGTGATATGAGTTGTAGATGTTGCTCTAATGTGTTTGTTTGCTTTTTTGACATCCCAGGAAATTTTAAAAGGAAAAAACCTAGTCACATTATCTAGGATTGTTGCTATACATCACAAAATAGAAAAATTGAACTAATTTGCACAAATAGACAGGTTCCATCATTTACCATCAATGCTAATGTATTAAAAAAATATAATTTATCAATATGTAGAAACTTTTATGTTATTTGAATATTACTCTAGACATGTATTATTTTATCAATATAATAAATAATTTTATCGTTGTTATTGTTATTTATAATATATATATATATATATATATTAACTATAACTATATATTAGCCATCCATCTGTAATATCATAGAAAACATTATTGAGCTTGAATTCATGGAAGAAGATCAAAAACAATATATCAAAGGCCACCAAATTAATTAATCCTATAATGGTACACTTAGTTGCCAGGATTGAGGCAACTCAAACTAAAATAATCTATGAAATTTGCAATGAATAGTATGTTATCATTCTACAGTGAAAAGTAGGTTTAATACATCACTGATGTTATTTGTGTTACAAAATTCAGTATTATTCATAAAACATTAAGAGTGAAAAATCCTGTACAAAATATGAATATATATATATATATATATATATTTCATTCTTGCCAATTATTTCAAAATACATAGTTCAGTGAGGAAAATAAATAAATAAATTTCATGTTAAGAAATGTAAATTTGAAGTGTGTATTATAATTACAGAAAACTTATTTCAATTATCCAATTATTATCATAAGCTTTTGAGTTTTGATTATTATTAGCAAGGCTGAAATTTTACACTGAATTTTGTTATATTTCTTGTTTTCCCGAATCTTTAAATGATATTTGTCAAATACTTCCCTTTTTTGGATAGAATATTTATATATCTCACTTTATAAATATTTTAGCCTCCTAAATAACTTAATAAACAAATAAGGTACATACACACTTGTTTACATTTTTTTTTTCCCCATAAAGATTACATTTCATGTTAATACCAAGTTGGACATTCCATACCTAAACTTCAAAATGGGAGAAAAGTTTAATCATTCTACATATTGTTTTACTTAAAAGTAAATAGAAAATCATGTTGATTTTATTATTATTATATAGAGTACAGTTGTTCAAAAACATGTTACAAGAGTGAGTAATATATATATATATATATATATATACACACACACACACACACATATGCATACACATGTAGATTCAAACTCAAGTGTAGATTCCAACACTATTATGAAAATGTGCAAACTGGACTGTTCCACACTTTCATCAAAACCTGCATGCCTCACTCCACAAACATCATACAATCCTTCTGCTGCATGCACCCTGTGCCCCATGCACACACACACATGAATAAAAAAGAAAAAGACAACAGGAAAAGGCCCAGTTATATAGTTCACAAAACCTACAAAAGGAAATGCAATCAGCACAACACGGCATCCATCAATCACCATGCTCACCATGCAACACAGTGACGCAGTCATGGGGGAACGACCTGTAGCACGCGGTGGTAGGTCCTCACGGCGAAGGGAGGGGTGGGGGAGGGGGGGGGATTTTCGGGTCCCGGTGAAGGGGCCCCCGCGTGGCGGTTACGGGACCGACGTTGCGGTGTTGGGCAGGGCAGAGAGTGCGGGTGGCGCTGCCTGGCTATGGCTGCTCCCCGCCTCGCTCTCGCTCTCTCGCCTCCCTCCCTCCCTCCCTCCCTCACTCGCAAGTTCTTCCTTCCCTGCGTCTCTGTGTTCCTGTGCTTGTGTACCTTCCTGCTTGCCTCATGCACCCACGATCTCATTCTCTCTCTTTCCTCGCTTTGCTTGCCATTGAGCAATAGATGAGCCCATGAGCTTGTTGCTTGGGATTGGCTTGCTAGCTCGCTCCGCTCTTTGAGGCCCAAAACCTCGATCCTACTGCCCCCTTCTCACGCGTTTCCACCTTTACCACCTGCTTCGCGATCACCCATCTCGACCTGTTTGTTGATCGTCGTCATGCTGCTCAGGCACTGGTACTGCTCTGCTTAGATCTGCTGACTCTGCGATTGGGGGTGTTACTTTTCCATCACTTGCTGTGCGCTCGGTTCGGCAGATCTGGCCTGTTCGATTCAACTTGATTCTTTCCTCTGTGTGGCATCTACCCGTTTCGGAATGCCACTGCATTGATGATTTTTTTTTTTTTTCATTTCCTGCCCTATGTTGTTTTCGCAGCACGCTCGCCACGTTTGCGATCGCTTACTTTCTAGGTGTGATTGTGCTTTGCTTGGAATTTGGGTACAGCTGCAACTGATTCAGGCTCTCTTACGTCCTTTTTTTTTTTTTTTTTTTTTTTTTTTTTTTGTTTTTTTTTGGATATAGGTGACGACGTTTCACAGTCGTGTGTTTCAGCAAAACTGACCAAGAACGAATGAATTCCACACATTCCTTTGGTAGCAAATGCGTCGACGCGAAAGTTGCTGCTTGTGCGAATGGAGTGCGCTGGATTTTGTCTACTGTCAGCAGCCGAGCAATGAGATGAAGGCGTGTAGATGTGCTCAGAAATGTGGGTGGGATAACTGGGAAAAATGTGAACTAGCAGTGGTCCAAGTATGGTGAGGGCTTTCATGTGGGCGTGTTGGTGGAATAAGGTGGAGAATCTGTAGGCAGCGTTCTAGCTCATGCGTCTCCTAGTTCCCACCAAGTGGAGATAGGGAGGAAGATGAAGTCGGATGTTGCTCTCGACCATGCTGCTTTCCAGCTTACGCCATCACGGAACAGGTCCAGCCGCACAACCTCGTTTGTGTCGTCAGTTCTTGCTACCATTCCGTGCCTTGTGTACTTTTTTTGTTTTTTTTAATAATAATAAAAAAACTTAACTCTTGTTCTTCACACCCTGGTAGCTTCTGCTGAAATCTTTGGATGGAATTCCAGTTAGGGTGTATGCCTTTCTTTTTTTCACGCTTTGGGTGGAGATTGCTGGTTGACTACATGATGGTGAGTGCTCAAATAGGGGTCCATGATGGACATGGAACTGCAAATGTTTCATAATCTCTACCGCGCGAAGTGTGTATGTATAACAGCCACAGTACAAGTCACTGGAGTATGAATATAATTAATAACTATGAGGACAGCAGAAAGCATGTTGACCAGTTCAGGGGAGTTTCTGACAGGAATTTTGATTCTGTTCAGGTGCGAGCTCGTAGTAGTCTGGGGAGAGGAGACAGAGCGGTTAGCTTCTGGCCTTCTTAAACCTTTTCTAGTGCACTTGAAAGCTGCTGAAGACCAATACGCAACAGGGACGAAAGAGATCAAGTTAGTGCCTCCGCCTGGTTATGGATCCGCAACGAAGCCTGAGACGTCCGCGTGGTTTACCAAGGGGACTATTGAAAGGTTGCTACACTAAGCGCCTTGCCTGAAAATGTTCTTGACCACATCTGCTTTAATGCCTGTCAGGTGTCTGATTTCTGTAATGTTGGAGTTCCACCGTCGGAACGTCATTAGGTGTCTCACTAGAATAGCAAATTTTTCAACATCCACGTGGGAGGTGAATGTGGTTCGACTTCAACGTGAGGAGAAACGCATTCCTTTATCCCCTCCTTGCTTAATGGGTCGCTGCCGCTCTCGTAAATGGTCCTTATCATTGGAAATGAAACTTAACTACTTTCGTGATCTGCACGGAAAGTGGTGCTAGGTGGTTGCACGCGTGCTTTGTACTCATCATTCGGATGCCGGGGTAAATGTTCAGGTTTGTCAGATTTGTGAGCACCCCGGAGGTACTTGAGCGTGTTGGCACTGTGGAAGCTGAAATAATACAGCTGGATGGAGCCATTAGAGAACATGCAATCGAATCCACTAAGGTAAGGGTGTTTGGACCGTGGCTTTCATACTTAGAACTGAGGAACACTCGGAAGTCATCTATGTTCCATGGAGCTGACAACATGCAGTCTTAATTTGCACTAAGAATGGGACTGTATGGCGTGACAGGCTGATGCGTCGCAATCCGACGTCGCAGTTGCAGCGCCATCAGCAGGTTGGTTCTAGAACTCTATGAAAACTTCTAGCATTGCAATTTACGCAGCAATGGCGACTTTGTGATTTCTGTGCTTCCTAGGTGTTCCTGTACATGCCATTATACGCCCTGCAATCATGGATGTGCCATGTTTACTGCTGTAGTCCAAAGCTTAGTCGGAGACGTGTCATGTCCAACTGTGGGAGCTATGTGTTATCTTTTCGTTAGGTGGTTGAGGGTTGTGTGGTTAGTATATTTTACATTTTGACACACGATGTGGCCACAATGTGTGTGTGGTTGATGATGCAGCTAGCAACATTCTGTTGACGGCTACGGCTGATCAAGCGCCCACACCGACTCCGGTATTCTCCCAACTCTGTCGTTAAGCATGATGGTGTTACTATTTAATTTAGCAAAGCGTACTTTTATCGTGGTAAAGTCTATCTTAAAAGAAGTCCTGCTTCTCATATGTTGTTTCTTTTGCAGTCGAGGCGAAACTCCCTAGATGAGGCCGAGAACCCTGCTCCTGATGATAATTCTAGGTGCAAGCTCTCTTCCTCTGTCTTTGTTCATGTCGATTGTTTTCTGATGGCACTGCTTGCCATGTTGTGTCTTGAGCAATTCTCTTAGTTCAACATCTGGTCGACTTCATGGAAACTACACTGTAATGCAAGTCGTCGGCAAGTGCGTGAATCTTGACCTCACCTCCTGGAATGGCAGGCGCCGCCTGTTACGAGCCATGGAAGCTCGGAAAATGTTATTGCACAAGGAACAAAGTATGGCTTTCGCACGGGCAACTGCAGCAGGATTCGATATGCAAAAAATGGAACATCTACTGGTGTTTGCAGAATGCTTCGGCGCAAAACGCTTGGGGTATCTCTTCTATGATCTTCTCCTCAGCTAAAAATGTAGCTTTGATACTAGATGTGTTCTCTTGATAGAAAAACGATATATGTGTCGTCTGGGGCGAATGTGAAGAGATTATATGGCTACAGATATGGGAATATTACCGACTCGCAGTTAAATTACGTTCCTAGGATCTGATTTTTATTTTTATTTTTATTTTTTTGTTGCTTGACTTGATACAGTGACGCGTGTGTAATGTTCACAAGCGTACATAAGAAGAGCAAGGAATCAGGAGTTTGGGACGAGAATGAGTGGCCTCTGTCTGACACAGCAAGCCTTCGGAATGTTCCCACGAGCCCTCATTTTAGACCACGGGAATCCGATTTGTGGTCAGATATGCATAGCGAGGCAGGTGACAATAAGTTGGACGACCTTAGAGACGACGTTAGTGTTAGATCCTACAGTAATTACTATGGTGAGGACCTTTCAATGCGGGCCTATTCTGGGGGAGATTTTCTCAGAAAGAGAAGTCCTCTTGAAGGCATGTTGAGTCCCAATAGGACAAGGGATTATAATGGGGATTTTTCACGATCAAGAGGAGGGTCTACTCGAACAAGTTGGGATGAAGGATCTAGAATCGCTCAGAGTCTAGAGATGGCCGGGAGAGCACATGGCGATGACAGTCTTCTGTTCTCGAATGCGAGTTCTCGAAGGATCACTTCGCTTGGTTCTCAACATCCAGCCATTTTGTACAATGGGGATGGTGCTAACGAATTAGGAATGGACTTTGATGGAGGCAATCGAAATGGATATGCTCAATGTCAGCGGCGTGCACGGGAATCTTCTCCTCAATTCTTAGCTCACCGATTTTCCGGTGGTGTCAAGGTGGAAAGCGGCTCTCACTTACTCGGAAATGACGGTTATCACGCGACAGTTCAAGGGACTCTTAATGCCAGCAATGGTGGAAGTGCTTCCTTACATAGGAGTGGGGAAAGCTTACCCAGCTGGGCTGCTGCTGCTTCAGGCCAGTCTGATCAGCCTTGGCACCCTGGCTCAATAGGACCTAGTGGGCATGGTTTTCCTCGTCTGACGGTGCCTAAATTCCAAGTACACGTGGATGTAGGAAATGGACACGTTCAGTCAACATTGAGTGCTGAACCTGTGGTGAAGCCTCCAGAAGCCAATGGTAACGTTCTCTCTTCTTCAGTAGCAGTCACGCAAGGGAATAATACGAGGCAGGAAGTGAAAGTGCAGGAGATGGCCCGAAATGAAATTTCTGCACTTGGTATTGCCAATGTTGATAATTCAGCACCTTCCAGAGTAGATCTGAAACGTCATCCAGTAGCAGGGAGGGCTGGTGACCGATCGCAGAATAAACCTGTGGTTCGAAGGGCGTCATCACCTCGACGCCGTTCATCTTCCCCTATGCGAAGGGTGCAAGTGGGACGGAATAGTATGCGGCGGTCTGGGGTCATGTTGAAGAATGCTAACTATGCTTCAACTAAACAATCTGGGAACACTAAAGTTACTCCCAAGGAGTTGGAACCAAGTGATGAGGAGACAGATGATGTCCCTGGACCGCTAAATGGTTCCCCTCTGCAACAAGGTCAGTATGTTCTTCAGAGCGGAATTGCTGGACTAGGTCTTGGGATTTCAGATGATTAGCAGAGGTGAATAGCTTTCTAGGCGTTGTTAACATTGTAGTGCAGGTTATGGATACTATTACTATCTTGCAAAGAGTGAATCTTCATTGGCGATAACTCGATTATGGTCAATATATATATTGACGCTACTAAAATCAGGGAACGAACGATACAATTTAGGTTGGTGTACGTAGGGCCAACATGTTGCGTGTTGTGCCTGTGTTTCCAAGCTTCCCCGCATGACTAGTAGTGCTGCAGTTCCAGGAGATCTTTTTTTGGTTTTAAGGCGGATTGTCTTTGATCAACGTTCGTTTACTGGGCATGTTTCTTAGATATTGAGCATGAGGACGTTCTGTGGTCTTTTTAGAGGAAATTTTGATAGAAAACTGTTAATTAGTTGGATTGTTTTCATGCGTATGTTACTTGATTGTGTGCAGTCACACAAGCTTCAATAGGTTTGATGTTTTGATATCATCCTGGAGTGATGTTAGGTGGGGTTGAGTTTGATTCGGGGTCCTTTAGAACCGATTTAATTGATTGAATCGGGACGAAGTGAGTTCAATTTTACGGCTGCGTTTAGTTACGATTGGATGAATATTTGTCGATTACATTTAGGGAGAATATGGGTATTGTGGAGCTGATGGGGTAGTTCACTGGGATTACCTGGTTAATGTGTCTCTGGGCTAAGTATGTTGACTACGACCTACGCGGTCACGTCTGTTGAGTTGTTCAAACTGATATAATTATCCCATGGAACTACTCACAGCCCTGCAATATGAAAGTGTTTTGTTGTTAATGAGGTAGAAAGTAGCGTAAGCGTAGAAGTAGATTGTGCACCTTTGGGGAGACAAGCTGGTTCTAAAGTACACGGATTTTTTCATCGTTGCAGTTCATTCTAGAGTAGTGAAGCAAGGTTTCGGTTGGAAGGACGGGCTTCGAGTGGACACCAATCGGGATTCTCTCGCACATGTGTCACGCGAACCTGAACAAAGTCCCAGTGCAGCATCCTCTGGGTGGAACACGCCAGTGGATTATGATATAGATTTTCCTGAAAATGGTAGTGAGCATGAGTCTACCGGGCAGCCTGGGACCCTGCTTTCTCCTAAAGAGCCTAAAGGAAGGTTTTACGAGCAGTACCGTGAAAAGAGAGATGCTAAACTGCGGGATGGTTCTGAATCAAGGAAGGTGGATACCAATGCTAAACTGAAGTCTATGGAAGTGGTCTTGGAGTATCGGAAGGCAGAAATGGCTGCTCGCAAAACAAGAGGGTCAGTTAGAGATAATTCTGATGGGGAAGCCCAAGTTGTGGCAGAAAAATCGCGAACCCCCAAGTCTGACTTAGCGAAGAGCAAGAAGCTAAAGGTACACATTGCAGCGTTTTTTTAGCCTTCATTTCTGATGTTTATCTTATGTATAGCATCAGAAAGGTCAGTTGTGATGTACAGTGTGGTGAATCAAATCGATTCCCGGCCTCGCGGATATAGACTTCGCTGACTTATTACGGGCGTTTGGATCTGTTTTGGATCAGTGATGTCTTTGATTGTTGTATCAATATTGTTGTCATATATCGTTGTCTTCATTGCTGATATTGTCTATTATCATTTATACTGCCAGACGTGCACGAAGGTGGATGTTACAGGCCGCTTAATTTAAACGTTGAAAATATAGTTTGAATCGCTTAATTGATGGTAGCAGCTGCAGTAATGTAGGGTCTTTTTTTCCCACCACGAGTTTCGACGTGCCTTAGTTCTTGCTCTGATGTCTCATGATAGCTGATCAAGCCCGACAGGGTTAGAATCTTCAGCACGGTTTTTTCACAATGGTGGGTGAATTTAAATGTTTGAATCTTTTCACGGACATCTGAATGCCTTGTGCAGAGTGATGATGAAGCTAAACGGCTTGAGGAAATTGGGAATCAGCGACGAGAAAGAATCGCAGCCCGAAGTAGCCCAAGTCCGCCATTGGCAGGTGCTGCTTCTGCTGTCTCCACTGCATCAACAACAAGGGCCACCGCAAAGCAACCAACGACGCCGACTGCACAACCAACGCATATTCCTACTCCATCTTTAACTCCTAAAACAAAGTCCAATGCTGCTCGAAGATTATCACCTTCAAAGAGAGTGTCTCCTGGAACTCTTCGAGGACCTGTGAGCTCACCCGCAACTGCCGCCCCTGCCCTCAAAACGGTCCGAACAAATCAGAGAAAGTCTCAGACTGCGCCCCAAACTAAAGAAGTTGAGAATCCCATGAGTAGATCGGCGCCTTCCTTGGCTGAGTTGCGGAAAGAGAACACAAAACCTGGGTTGCCACGAAAGAGCACTGACAATGAGCGACCCCGCATTACAGGTAGCAAACTTCCTGGTACGCGCGGTGCATCAACTCCTCTAGAACCCAATGGGAGCGTCGTTGGTACTCGGGGAGTCGGTACCGACGATAAGAATCGGCGTGTTGGTACACGAAAAAGTGTTGCTGCTGTGGCGGATTCTGCCACGGAAGCTCAGTTGTTGGTGCCCAAAACCCCTCAAGATGAGCAGAGTGCCACAAGTAAGCCAATTAAGCGACCTTCACCCACATCAGCTGCAAACGTGGAGTCCAAACCTTTTCTACGGAAAGGTAGAGGGATTGGTCCAGGATCTGGGCCTGTGGTTCGCAAATCTAAAGTAGGTGCTGCTCCGGAACCATCGAAAGCTGATGAAGAGGAGGCAGATCAGAGTATCTCTGACTCGGAACCTGAATTTGCCAAGGCTGAACGTGAGGTTGGTGAGGAGGATGAAGATAAAGAAGCAAGTGTGCGCCCAGATCCCATAGAAGCATCACAGGCCTGCACTTTGGAGAGACCTGATATTTCGACCACACGACCCAGTACAGCTCCTCAGAGTTTGGCTTCGGTTCTACATGATGACGATGAGTCCATAAGACCTGAAGAGTGGCAAGAGCCTGAGATCTCGCAAGATGGGTGCAGTTCGGAGGATTTTTTTTATAGAAAGTCGGACCAAGATACCACACGTGCAGGAGTCCTGCTAGAAAACCAGCAATCATCAGCATTGAGATATTTCTCGAATGAGGGATTAGAGAATGATTTCATGGTGAATACAATCCCCAGCGGTACAGTAACACCTCCGCCAAGATCGTCTCCAATACATTCAATTCCTTTGAGGTCTTTGTCGCCCAAAGGGTCCGAAGTTCCGGATCTGCACAAAGCCCATCGATATTCATCTGGTGATATCGCAACTTCGCCATATGTTCCTACTACGCCCGTAGCTTTTACCGACAGGTTTCCTGCTCATGATGGTCCCTTTTCTGTACCTTCTGGTGCCCCTCCTCTTTCTCCCGAAACCCAGACAAGTGCAAAGCTTCGGAAGAACTGGCTTAATTCTCAGAAGATCTCGGGACCGCCCACTGTGAAGGAATCTACACGAGGCTTGAAAAAGCTTTTGAAGTTTGGTTTGAAAAAGAAGGACAAGGGCAGCGGTGTGTCAACTACAAGTGATAGTCCCTCAGATATCGACGACGACTTTTTTGATTCCGTTAGTGAGCATGGAGGGCGGACGGAGGAGTTGACTAATATCGCACAGAGGAACCTTGGTTCTCGCGCGCCTTCCAAGGCTTCTGCGCTAACAGGACCTCCCGCGATTCCTGAAGACTTCGCCACTGAAAATGAGGATGTTGGATCCCGTCTAATTTCAAGTAAGCAGCGTTTTTCTGTTATATATTTCGCAGGTTCTTTGGTCTTACTCCCTTGTAAGATGGTGAACGTAAGTACCAATTGTTCTTGTGTGTCTGTGGGCTATACACGTAGCAAAGTAGAGTTCTCCAAGTCTTTGATCTGGTCAGGAATACCCTTTCTGACGCACAGTTTGTGGCTCGTGCAGTACCGTTTGTTAGAAGTGCCGTACCCCCTCTAGCACCAGTTCATTTTAAGATGCGGGATGAACATGTCGGCTCAAGTAGCCTTCTGAAAGGTGTCACTATTACACATACCTGATTAAACCCTCGCTCTGTCGCCTTGTGTGTTTCGCAGCTTCTTAATGTGGCATCGATGAGTGGAGTGTCTGGGTTGGAAATGTTGCACTGTTAGTAGAATGTATGAATGCCATAATCAAATCCATGTTTTTCTTTTTCTTTTTCTTTGAGTACTGGCTCTTGTGGTGATACTTGTAGATGCTGCTGGAGAAGACTCCTTTGCTTCTATTCTAGAGGTTTCTTCTACGAATGAAGTTACTGTCTGACTGCGTACTGTTTGTTGATGCAGCACCTCGATCGTTCTTTTCATTGTCATCTTTTCGGAGTAAAGTTAAACAGTGAGAGAAGGAATGGTTCTGGCTGGCAGTGACATTTAAGGATTTCTTGACCAGCAGGCCTTCATGATGTCTGTCAAGTTTCCCTGGCGCATGCTTAATTGCCCTAAGCTGCGAGAATGCAGCTTCTGTCGTCAAAATGAGGTCCGCATTCACAGTTTTATTTGCATAAACAAGTTATTCTGCCTTCGTATATGAATCACTCGTGTCATTCACAGTGTGTTCACCTAATTTTGTGTAGAGATAGCCCCCAGCTATTGGATTTTACATAGAATGTAAGGGATCCCTCTCAGCCTTTCGTGGCAAGGCTCCTGATACTAGTCTGCCCATGTTTGTGGGGTCCTGTTTAGTAAGATTGATGATTGAACTAAGTTTTCTTCTGTCCCCATCAAGGACTTGTGGATCTTCTTTTCATTGTTTTTATACTAGGAAAGCTCATTTTCAATTGAACAATCCTAGTCGCAGACCTGCACTTCATGTTGATGCAATTGTAATTTCATCATTTAAAATACATGGCTAATAATCCTATATACAGTCATCCCTTTTCTACTTGATTTCATATAATTATTTCAATTTAATAAAGGATTTTACAAATTACTTCATTAAAAATATACCTTTTCTTTAGAGTGTCATCTATTACAATCAAAGTATACGTACAGTTGTGTGTTACATTGACTAAAAAATCCAATATTCATTAAGTATCATGCATTAATTCAAGTGAAGCTATAAAGCTTAAAAGTAACATTATAGAAGTTGAAAAATATCTTTTCTGCAGCATTTCAGATGTATTATTTTTAACATAACCTTCATGTACAATTGTTGCAATAAAAAAGTATTATCATTTAGTCAGAAAGAAGCAGATGTAGCCATTGATACAATTAGACTTATTGTTAGAATCCATTGTGACTTTTTGTGACATAAGTACAGGGTTGCCATTCAGGAAGGGGGAATTCTGCCCCCTGTAATTCCTTTCCATATCACTATCTATTCTTGCTGCCCAGGTTTAATCGAAATAAAAAATATCTTAATTTAAATGTAAGAATATTATATTTAAATAATGTGTCTTTTTTACAAAATATGAAATATATATATATATATATATATATATATATATATACACACACACATAGATAGATAGATACATACATATGCATATGTATTTTACATGATGGTGCAAAGAACAATTGTCCACAAAATTTTCAAAGGAGAGATGCACTAATTAGTTTTTGGGCAAAAAATACAAAAAAAACAATCATATTCTTTGTAAAAATGTATCAACTTAATAGAGAGATACTACTAAAAATGCTACAACTAGGCAATTATAGACCAAAATTTGCAAATGGATGGCTCTTCAAATCTGAAAGTTGCTGTAGATTCTACACCTTCATAGCTTATATGGAGAAAGGAGATTAGAAGACATTGTAGCTATTGAGAAAATTGTGCTTAATATTAAACAAAGCTTGCATAATATGCTAAGTACACCATTTATAACATGGACAAGACAAGTCTTTACTATCGGGTGATATCTAAGAGGACTATTGCATGCTAACAAATTAAAGGATCTAAGAAGGATAAAACCAAGATTATAATTGTTTTGATGGCAAATGCACATAGATTAGATAAGATAGAACCATTTATTCTAAATGATTCTATTTACTAAAGGCATGTGGCAAAACCACATGCCTTTAGTAAATAAAAATAGGTGAAAATTTTGAATTCTAGTATTGCCAAAATATAAAATAAAAATAAGAATAAAAAAATGATGAGATTTGATGGATGCCATTCAAAAGCTTCTAATATCTTATATTTATTCCAACCTTGCTCAATCTAGTGGAAGAAGAGCAAGTAATACAAGATGAGTTTTTTTTTTTTTTTTTTTTTTTTTTTATTATAAGAATCTACTTGCTATTATTGCATTAGATAAAACTACAAAAGATGCTGTTGAAAAAAACCATACTCTAAAGCTATTTTAATTTTGATATAAAGTTTATATGTCCTTTAGGCTACCATTTATTTCTTGGATCTACAAAAATCCACAACTATAACTGCCTACAAGATATTATAAGAACTCGAGCAACAATTGTAGATTGTGAGACAACAAGAAAAAATATTAGATACTTAGATTGTATACATACTAACCTCTATTATTAATAAAAATAAAATAAAATAAAATAATTATTATAAATTAGTGATTATTAATTATGTACTACAAAATAGAGTTAGTTTCTAAAATTTTGATTAATTATTAAGAGCTATTAAATTTGGAGGATTAATTATTAAAAAAATAATTATATATCACCTTAATTATTATATATCTATAATAATTAATTTTTCTATTATTCATAAAAATATGTAATATTTTTAATTAAATATATTGTAATTTATATTTATTCTATTTTACTATAGAAAAATTTTGAACTTTAAATTTAAATTTAAATTTAAAACTTATTGTATATGCTATCAATTTGATTAATCTTTAGAATTTTATACAATATTTAGTTTAATCACCAATAATTATTTCTATAAAACTTTTAAAATATAGATATATATCTCTAACGTATGACTCTAACTTTTAGTACTTTCATGTATTACAAATAGATTTAATTCCAAAATTTTCTCCAAAAATATCTCAAAAAATAAAAAATCAAAGAAAAATTATCCTACTAGCTTACAATGCAATAATCCTACACAATGTCTCCTTCTCCCACTAAACCTTGTTTCCAATGTAAGTACAATCTAAAGGGTGGGCAAAGCCTTTGGCACTTAATATAGTAGTTTTGACTTAGCCCAATTAGCTTCAATTCTTATTTTTGATATTAATACTTTTGGCTCAACTTCCTCTCAATTTGTAGCTAGTTAGATCTTCTAATAAATTTTTAAGTAGTTAGCAATCATTGTGTATTGAAGTATGATTTATAAACGATAAAAAGTGTCACACATACATACATACATAAATACATAAAAAGATAACATTAGACTCTAAACTTTTTTGGTTTAATATATATATATATATATATATATATATATATATAAATAATAAAAAAATATATCTCAAATTTTTTTATTTTTTATAAATGTGATAAAATCTAAGATGATTATGAAATATTGCCAAATTTCAAATGATGGAATTGCAATTAAATTTTTACCTGAATTTATAAAAGCACCTCCTTAACACATGCATTGTCAAATTGTTACATAATTACAAGGAAAAAAAGAAAAAGAAAAAGTTAAAGGAGAAAAAAGAAAAAAGAAAAACCATGACTGTCAATATTAAGTAAATATTTTATTCACTCGTTTGTCTCAGGATTTCAAGATGGATGACGTTCGATGAGCAGAAAGCATCCACAGAAACTTATGAACGTATCATCCAGTAAACATCCATCCTCAACTCATCCTGTAAACATCCATCCTCGACTCATCCAGTAAACATCCATCCTCGACTCATCCAGTAAACATCCATCCTCGACTCATCCAGTAGCCCATCCAGGAACATTCATCCATATATCCAGTGGGGAGCGCACAGGCAGTGGATAATTCAGAGGTAGGGGGAGAGACGAGGCCAATTTGCGAGGAAGACGAAGACGAAGAGGGAGGCGACGACGACAAGAATTTCTGCCTCGCGAAGCCCATATCTGCAATCTGTGGGAGGATTTCTGTGTCTGAGCACGGCCATGGAGGCGGTCATGTCCTCTTCGCTCGTCACCCACAAATCGATTCACCCACTATCGTCGTCCATTTGGGGTCGAGACAGCAAGCGGTTTAGTCACGAGGCGAAGCTGGGCGGGTGGCCTCATTTGAGGAGCCGCGGTGCAGGCGTGGCCACAGCCTATTTGGAGCCGGAACCTAACCCAGTCTCGCAGTTCTTTAAAAATGTGCAAGGGAGTTTGCCAATCGTTGGGCTCTTGTCGCGTTTGTTGAATGACGAGGGCGGTATCGGTAATGACAGGATTCAGCCCGTGGAATTTGCCGCTAGAGTTCAGAAGAACTGCTCATATAAGGCGTCTCAAGCATTTTACGAGTTCCAGGAGCGACACGGGCCAGTATGCTTCTTTACCCCATCTTCAATGTTGAACCGTTTTCCAGTGAAAATAAATCTATGTCACGTTTGTTTTTTGAGTTGTTCCTTTGAGCGGTCCAAATTTCTTTTCGTTTGTGGTGGAGTGGGTAATGGGAAGATTTCTTCTATCTTTTTTCTTCTTTTTTTTCGTCCTTTTGTTTTCGACTTTTTATTTTTATTTTTTATTTTTTTATTTCTTTTTCCATCCCCTCAATTCTCTTCTCATCTTTGACTGAATGCTTCAAAGGAAGAGATCCTTCCACTGATAGACCGGAAATCTAATGTATCGCTCTTTAGCACTGTAGCTTTGTCCTCTGGCAATTTTGCTCGAAGTTGCTCAAGCTAGGTTTGCGAATTGCTAAGGGTTTTGGGGTTAGAGGAAAGCATATTAATCAACTAATACGGCAACCTGGGCTGTATCAATGACCAGTTCGATTAATAATAATTGGAACATGAAGGTACTGTAAAGGACATCAATTGACTGGGTGAAAAATATGTTCCAAGCATTATGGATTTCGCAAGAATGCTTATGCTAGTTTTAGATGTAGAGATTTGTAATTTTCGATCCCATCTTGTGCAGGTTGCCAAATCTCAGTACGTCTTGTTGTGGTGCTGGGCAGCAGCCGTAGGAGCAGGGTTACTCAAATCTGACGATCTTATAATGTCAGCTGCACGTCTCCGCTGCTCTAACGATGTACATTACGAGACCGAAAACTTGGAACTCCTCATGGACGACGCAAAAAAGGTACTGCAAATATTTTATGCATACTCTTGAGTGCAATTTCTTATCAGATACTAAATGACTGCGAGGTTTTTCTTACTTCATAAGAATCTCAGATAGTTAGTCGTCTCTCGTTCCTCCCAACAATGCTGTCGTCATGCTTACCTATCATTGACCTTCTCATGGAAATGTGTTCAGAGGCGAGAGAAGTCCAAATCACCTGCTATGAATGTGCCCATTGAAGCAAGGGCGGAGAAAGCGCTGGACGCCATAATGAAGTGCTGCGTGGGTGCCTCATACCTTGACGAAGAAGACGTTCCCTTGCTAATTACCATATTAACTACCGTGTTTCCCTCTGCCGATGCATCAGAGATAGATAGGATGGTAACCTCGCGGTTAGCTTACAGTGACGATGACGAAGCCAGCGCAGAAGAAGACAATGAGGAAGATAGAACTGAAGGTTTCGTTGTAGAGGACATGGCAAATAGTGTAACTCAATAAAAATTAAAAAATTATAAAAGTCCTTACAGATGTTGATCTCTTTTATATTACCTGCGGACTAATATTCTGCGTCGTCAACGCCACGTGACTTTTCTAAATATTCTCTACGGTACGATGGTTTAGATGAGTGTGGGGATGACGAACAGGAGGATGTGCATGAAGATGCGTTTTCTCTTGCTTAGTTGATACCGTCTCACTTCAATGTCGTCGATGTTGTGAGGTTCCAGCAGATGAAGCTTCTCAATCTCTTTCATGGGCTCGAGGCTCTCGCTTTTGTTCCGAAGGAATCTAGACACATCGTTAGTGTAGATCAATATCAAAACATGCTCTGTTTCATATGAATGTTGCGTTCACTCGATATGCTACTTTTCCTGAGGTCTGATATGCTCATACTGCCGAGTTTCTCCTTAGTTTGCATCTAATTCTTAAGTCATCTAACCGCCAGTCAACTATCCACCGCCGTGATGGCTCGCCTTCAGTCTCTTCACCGAACAACTCATGTCCAGCTACTACGTAGCGATGCCCACCTAGATAAACGTTGCATTTTTGTCTCCAACGCAGAGGATGCATGGTATTTAATGGTTGTTTGGATCTCAGAACTCTCACATTTCATAGATATCTTTTCAATGCTGTTGCGAGTGTCACGCTGGTAATGATGCATAGCTATTTGAAGCACATGGATACTATAAAGTGGTTTTGTTCCACTGTAAAATATCTGAAAAACAGTGTAATTAGGTTTTGTTCTAAAACTTGGATTTTAGATATTTTCGAAAACTTTGCAATCATTCTTAGTTCGTGATATATTTGAGTTATTTCAGAAGGAAACCTTTAAAAAGAAAACACTTTATTTACATAGCAAAGAAGGATGGATATTGTGTGGAAAAAAGAAAATAAAACATGAACAAATTCCCTCATTTGTTGAAATTGTGCTTTTTATCCTACCCAAATAAGAACATTACATTTAATTAATATAAGAACATTAGTAGTTAATCAATCAAGATCCAATTGACTCAACAGTTCCTTCATTCACTACAATCTACTTCAATCAACTGGGAGACATTTGTCTTATAAACTTGCGTTATAATACTAGCTAGTTTAAAAAACTACCATTGTTCTGTACTATCACTAACCAAAAAAGTAACTAGAAATTATCACCACATGGTAATCCAAAACACACACACATATATATATATATATATATATATATCTAAAACTCATAGAGATAAGCAAATGAGATAAAGAAGAGGAGACAAAAACCCATCTATAATTGGTTGTATCTTTCATAGTTTTCAACAAAAGTTTTCTTCAAAAGTGAAGCAAAAGTTAACTTCACAAGATCTTAACAAAACCATATTAATATTGATTGTATCAATGAATTATGATATTGAAATCAATGCAAGTTCAAACTACAATCTTGCACAACAAGTATTCACAATATGATGATTGTGGTTCCAGTGCTAATTATGGTATTTGCATAACTTGCGGAATGGAGTCAGCTATAATGTGTGGATTTAACCAAATGCATGATTATAAATTGGATAGTCTTTGCTCCCATAAGTATGATAATTATGTATTGGTCTTTACTTGATAGATTCTCTAAATAGTTTCATGTTACAATATTCTTTAATTTTCACAATTTGTTCTTAGAATGAAAATGCCACTACTAATGAGATGTAGAAAGTTTCTATTTAGATGTGTTTAATTTGTAAATTCCATGTTCTTCTCTCAATTGACTTTTTACAAGTGTTTGTAGAATGAAAACTTTAAGATGAAACTTGTATATTATGGTGGTATTATGTTTGTAATCAAATGTCTAAATATATTCTTAGAAGCTTTTATGTAGTGGTTAATCAAGCAACAAATGAGGCGGTGATACAAAAAATACACAAAGGAGCTGGGCGACATGATGAAGGCTATAGAGAATCGGACGTTGGATCCCAAACATGAGATGAACACTATGGCTACATTAGACAAAATAAAATCCATGAGAATATGTTTTTGTCATTTTTGTTGGTTACTGGTCAAAGAACATCTTTTTTTCACTATACAAAAAGTATGATGATTTGAAATATAGTGGCGGCAATAACAATTTTTGGTTTTGGTGTTTTTTGGTTTTCGTAAGTGGTTTAAGATGTATAACCATTATATTCATAACTGCTCATTGTCCAGGCAAGGTTTGCATAATAATCTTCAATCAAAAAAGTTTCAAATGGCTTTATATTGTGGCTCATACTTGAATAGCTGATAGTTATTATAAACAATAGTGTCTAAGATTGAAGAGAAATTCTTTGATTATGAACTGAGATGCTCTTAAATTTATGCATTGAGATGTTATGAGTTGAGAATAAGTTCATATTATGTTTATATCAGTTAATAGTAGTTAAATTCATTTACTGGGTATAAGAAGAAGAAGTCAACTAGAATCTGATGTTCCACTTTCAGCTTTTATGAGTTGAAATAGCATCTTCACAATTGTTTTCCAATACATGTTAGAAAAGGAGCGGCAGCAGATAAGGATAATTGAAATCTAAAAATAGTGGAGATGCGGGGCATCGATCCCCGTACCTCTCGCATGCTAAGCGAGCGCTCTACCGTCTGAGCTACATCCCCACAGGCGTCAATTCAGCGAACATCAGCATTTGTTAGTGCTATTGTTGTTGTGAAAAGGGAAAGACTGACAAGTTTTATACTCTATATGGACTCCGTTCTCCTCAATCCTTACCCTCACCCAACTGTATCCTATTCCCACCCTTGATGTGCGTGTCATGCCGGCGTATTTCTTGTATACATTTGTATGTACTGAGAGAGAGACACCTTCAACAATTTGAAGGACTGGTGCAGGTTTATCGAAGTCAGGGACCTGGTTACAACAAGTCCTAGAGATTGAAACTGTCGTCATCTTGGTAAGTGGACAATCTTGTGAAGGCACCAGCAGTCTGCAGCTTTGTCGACATTCACACAGGAGACCACAGGTTCTGTGGTTCTGTGAGCAGCCGTTTAAATCTGTACTTGGGTGAGGAAGATAGAGAAGTCAGGAATAACGTGCGCATATACAACACTGCACCTCACAGGAAAGGTATTTTTCGTGAAGTCACAGATGGATAGTAAATGTTGCCTTGCACATGAAATTCGACGCATGTATCACATGCTGCCGTGTAGAGCAGAGGCCATTCCTGAATGTGCGTAATTCGTCTCCTATACAACCCGCTCTTCTCGAGAATCGGCTTAGTTGCGAAAGGAATTTGCTTCATTCGATTTCTCTTTCACACGATCTATGCACTTACAGCTCTCGAGGGACGTCCGCCAGGCTATGGAGCTCGTTTCGAATGGAGAACACTATCCTCTACGAACTTGACCTAGCACAATCCACTACTCGGGAGATGTAACTCCACGCAATTTTTCCACTGAGGACTAGCAAGGCGCAAAAAGAATGTCGTAAAAATGTCCATATTCTTGCGTAACTCAATCTGTGAGAGCGAGCGAGCGAGAGAGAGAGAGAGAGATATGATGATGTTTGATACTTGCAATTCGCGACACGCTCTTCGAATGAGATGAAGCTCCAAAGGAAGCCTGGTGGTCGATTATCAGACGATCTACTTCCTGAACGTTCGCAATGCATTACGAGCAGAACAGACGAGAGAACAGCAGAGTCTGCGATCCTTGCAGAGTGTCAAGCAGAGGCGCAATTTGATGCGCTTCGTGCACGCTCCTATTCGCGTACTTCCCCATGACTCTCTCCGCGAGCTGCGCATGGCGATGCTGAAGCAACGCCGCCTCCATCGGACCAACGAGGTTCAATCTCGTAGCCGCGGACAAAACGTCTCGCAAAGTGAGGTACAGGTACGCTCGCTGCGCGGTGCTCGCGTCCACACCCAGCAACCCCAATAGACGCCCCACCACTAGCGCGTGGTGGCCGTGAGCTCTCGGTGGCTTCCCCATCACGCTCACCCGCATTGCCGCTACTTCGCCAGCAATTTCCTTAAACACCCCGCCTGCCAACCGCAGCAGCGCCTTCCCTTGCCCCACCGACGCAGCTCTCGCCACGCCGTTCGACATGACGGCGTGCAACGCGCAATCTAACCCGATCCACTCTTCCAAACTCATCACCCGGCCCTCCACTGCCGCAAACACGAACGGCAGCAACAGGGATCCCGTATTCTCCATCGCCGTCACGGCAAACTTCTCCAGCGTGTGAGCGTCGAACACTAACCCTGCTTGCGCGGCAGACTCTAATCCAAACGAGTGTGCGAACCCACCTGTGGGCAGCACGGAATCGATCAGTTGCCATATGGTCCACGCCACGGCGCCAGCGTCTCGCTGCGACGGCACCTCCCCTTCCTCGCCCTCGCTCGCCATCGTTGATCCGCGTCTGTCAATGCTCACCGCAGTAAATTCGCACCCGGGAGCAACTGTGTCTAGATTGGGAGCGAAAAACCGAGCTTCCGCATCGGCGATGGCGATGGCGGAATCTGAAGCTCGTCTGGACACGACAAAGCACAACAATCTGGTCCTTTGGGTTCTTCCTTGGGTTCATTCGATAGTGGGGGGGGGGGGGGGGGATAGGTTTATAGCGGAGTGAGTGTAGTGTGTGAAGGTAGGGGTTGCTGGAATGTTATTGATGAATGGGTTGAGTTGTGCGTGTGAGAGAATGGTATGAAATGGAAATGTGTAATCAATTGAAAGAATAATATTAGATATGATCAAATACTGAATTAAATAGTTATATTTAAATTTGCACAAATGATTGACCAATACTACATTTTACACATTTTTCGGAAAGCTTGTAATATTAAGTTTTATACATTGCTTAAAGAATAGTTCTGTGTGTATGGAATTTGGTTGTTTTAAATGAAAAGGCTCTTTATATGTGGATATTAGAAGTATCATCACCACCATGTTCTGGTGGCATTTCTCTCAATTTGACATAAATCTTTTTACAAAGTTTCAAAATTGCTCTAAAATTATTTTAGAGTTGTTCAAAAACTTGTCTTCAAGAGCTTGTGTAAGTGCTCATGGTTCACACCATAACTTATATGATAGCTAGGTTGTACATTATTATTATTATTATTATTATTATTATATTTGTGGCATAATTATTGTAGGATATCGCTAAACCATAACAATATCCTTAAAACTTGTAATAGAATTTGATACAACTTGTAAGAGTTTCAAAATATCCAATAAAATTGTATAGCCTTGTACCACATCTTCAAACATCTTCAATTCTTTTGTTTATAAAGTACTTATGTAAAATATGACATTTATTTATTTAATTAATTATTTATTTCAAGTTTATTTTTGTTAAAAATACTCTAAATAAGTCAAAATCTATTGAAGACATTTACCAATATTAAATAGCAATTATTTATAATGCACATTTTATATCAAAGTTTAAATAAATAGTAAATCAATTGAATTCCACATTTTCAATTGTTTGCAAGTCAACCTTGAAATCATATTTTATAAATAAAGTTCTCATGCAATATCAATTTGCATATGTATGTATGTATGTATCTATATATATATACAATCAATTAGCATATCATGTTTGAAGACACTACAAGAGGCACCAATACATATATCAGATTTATGTATAATCATCAAATCTTAACATTGAACATTATTGTTGGTTACATGTACTGCCTCAGACCAAATCAAAAGGCAAAACATTTTAACTAACATTTTATCACATATCACATCTACGGACTATAGCTACACATGTGTCTACTCGCATGGCTTTGCAGTCTTACAAGCACATAAAAGTATCAATTGGAATATCTTTGAATGCATGTTATCTAATATTAAAGGTATTCGCAACAAACATGTTTTCTATACGAGGAGTATTAGTTCAATGGACAAACCATTCTCTCATTGAATGTTAGGATTGGACGAGCAACCTGAAGTCAAAGAGAGTAAAAAATCTGTAACCTGGTAACAGATTTGAATGACTATTAGCAGCTAGTAGAAAGCTCTGAGTTTGAATGGAGACCAGATGGACTATGAAACACAGTGACACTCGATTGAATAAACCTTGAGATCCAAGCTCAGGTGAGAAAACCAGAATGCTTAGAATGAAATGCTACAATATCTCATCAACGGCTGGACTCTCCGTGCTGGGTGTGATATTCACTAACCTTGGCCGCCCAGTTTCTGGGTCGATCTCCACACCCATACCTGCTTCTTTGAGCCTCGAGTCTGGAACAACAGACCTAATTTCTAAATCAGCTAACTCAGTTTGATTATTGCTGTTCCCTTCCAACAGGTTTCGAATGGCCCACAAACCCCACTCCCGTAAGAAGGGATTGTTGGTGTCAGGCATACACTGTTGTAAGACTAACAAGAGACCACCATTTTCTCGAACAGCATCTTGAATTAAGAAACTCCTGTGACTGGCATTTGCAATCACAGCAACTATGTCCCGACGGTATCCTATGTAAACATCTCTGCTAGGAAAAACATCAACGCCATTTGATGAAGATTGCTCTGAGCCCATCCTTCGTACAGTGCTGGTACTTGAATTGGTCTCAACACCACCTTGAGTTGAGGTGGTGCTGGCTTTGGCGCCGTCAGGAGAGCCGAGAGGACGCAGTAGATCCAGCATCAAAGGGATCAAACCACTGGACGCAAACACTGGAAGAATTTTTGACCTCTTCTCATCCAAAACACACAGTATTCTTATCATGGAGAGAGAGAGACCTAGGACATCAGCTACCGGTGAATGAGTTGGAAGCTGTAGAGCGGAAAGGCCGGTGGAGGCGGCACACTTGGCAGCACACCTTACGATGTCAATCAAAAACGAAGCAGATGTCGAAGGCATTGAAATCCACTGTTGAGAGTCTGATAAGGGATCACCGCTATGCTGGTCCTGCTCTCGTGCGCTCAACGATGCATTCAAGATGTCGAGCAACGCAGCCTGTTCCTTAACGAACGATTGTCTCACAGCCGTTTCCGGGAGGCCATCTATCTCCGTGGATTCCCCTATTGTGCCACCAAGTTCAGAGAACAGAACACGGAAACAAGGTTTTGCAAAGCAAAGATGAGTAATCAGAAACTCCAACCATTCATTTGATGATGAGTTCGAAACATCCACGCCCCCTGCAATGATCAGATTTCAGGAGAGGCACTCTTTGTAGATAATGTTTGGCAAATTTTGGGAGAAAAAACAATGAAGATAAGAAAAACTGCAATCATGAAAAGAGATGACCTTACCACTGTTGAGCAGCAATGCAACAATGGAAGCCCCTTTGTTTTCTGACAACTCCGAGCACCGAATATCGTTATGTCGACAGCAAGTAAAGAGTACCATGCACAAAGGACCTTGTACCTTTACGCTTGAAACCCTAGCTACAATCTCGAAAATCAACGGGAAGAAAACTTCCCAAATCTTTTCCTGACTCAATTCACCAAGCCCCGCTGTATTACCTAACAACTGAAGTACCATCTGCAGACCTTCAATCGCTGTATTCCGCACAGATGCCTCAACTGGAGAGGTACCAGCCACGTCAACACCATCCTTGAAAGAGCCAGCATCTAGAATACGCACAACTGGTGCAAGAGCTTCCAAGCCCCCAATTCTTACAAACGTCTCCTGATTTACGGAATTTCCAGCGCATAGATTGCGTAGAAGCTTGACATACAAATTAAAAGTCTTCGAGCTCCACCCAGATCCGGGAAAAGCTTCAGAAGTACTGGGAATTATCAGAGACGATAAAGAAAGGAGGCCAGAAACTGCCTCCGCTGCTGCAAGTGCCTGTCTACCATCATCTGACCTCGCAAAATCAGCCAAGAGTTGTAACCTCGACTCGAATTCCGCCCTGTTCGAAAACCCAGCTTCGGAAACGAAATCACGCAGCGAGCGGAGCGTCTCCACCTCTGCCATGGATCTCTTAACCCCTAAACCCTTCAAGGGAACCAGATCACAAAACCCCAGAAATAAGGCAGTTCAGACAGCGATTTTATGCAACGGGTCAGATGAAGTAAACGCAGTGCGCCGAAAATTATACAGCCAGTGCGCAATCGCAACTGATCCAGCTGGAGTTAATGTTGCGATGCGGGTGGAAACGAAGATGGCGGGCAGAATCAATCAAGGTCCACCGACAGACCTAAATTTCTCTCTAAGCAATAACACTTGAATAATCCCCCACCGTAGCCCTAAATTCCTCTCTAAGCAATTAAACTTGAATAAATTTCTTATACATACATACAGATATGAGTGGAAGCCTAAAGCTTCAAATCATAATGAAAACTCCAAGCAAATAAACTTGAATAAATTATACAAACATATATATATATATATATATATATATACATTAATGGAAGTCTAAAACTTCAAATTACAATAAAAAAAAGAGAAAAAATAACACAAGTTTTTTTCGTAAATTAATGGATGAGTTTATGGCAATATGACATGAAAATTAAGTTTGTGGATATTAGTTCTACTTCTTCTTCTTTTCCTAAATTATATGGATTTGCTTATTATTTTGTATTATATTATCTTCATAATAATATTCTTTTTATTGATGTCATTTGAATAAATAATGTAAACGCACATAGGGTATATTTAGGAAAATGGTGTCAAAGACAACCAATGGTGGATAAATACTAAGATCCAAAGTTTTATGTGTCCATTTAATGGTAATTAGATTTGAGATTGATTGATGGTTGTTGTAAATGTAATCCTTTCCAAATATGAATATTGTTGGAATTTGAAAGGATTTTTTAATACTGATAGTCTAACAATATTATTAGAAAAAAATGTCCATGATGGTTTCCTATGAGCACCCTTGTCACAATAAGACAATTTGTATGCCTTCCAACAACTATGTAAGAACAATATAAAAGCCTTGACATGGAGTAGTGTCTTTTAACAACATGATAGGGAATCCAAAATTTGTGCAAATCTTCATCAAAAATTTGTGCAAAGCTTCAAATGTTGGATAAAAATTCTTACATATAACATTATTTATATTCTTTGGTATGAAGACAAATTATCTACTTCTTTTATAGCTCTTGATAATTCATAGCTATGTACTTAACAATCAACATGTGATCAATATAACCATTATAACTTCTTTTTCACAAAATTCTTATTAACTATAATTACAATTAAATATTTTATTCATAATATGAATATAAATATATCAAATACAAATATATTAAAAAATCTTATATAATAAATTATATATATTAACCTATAATATTTGGTATATACTTTAAAAAAATGTTATAATATCTATGTTATTTTTAATTTAATACATATATTTTAAAAACTCTATACTTTATTTAATATTTTTATTTTATTTTAATTAATAATATCCAATTTTATTACAAATAAATTCACAATATTACTATTATAAGTAAATTTTATATATAATATCTAAATAGTCTTTAATTAGTTGGAAATCGTTTTAAAAACTAATTCTAAAGATATAATAATGTTAGATCTTGGCTATTTTTATTCAATTGAATTTTTTTGAATTTTATCAAAAATATTTTTTTACTTCTTTTTTCTATTAGCATTTAATTATAAAAAGATCAGAAGGTATATAATCATTTTAAATACATAAAAAATTGAAAAAATATATAAATTTAATACATTGAAATTAAAAAATTATAATGTAAATAAAACAAAATTTGTATTTTTTTATTCTTAATTTTTTTGTTGATTAATATTATATATCTATGTATAATAAGATATTATAGCTTATCAAAGTTGTAATTAGGTAAATTTTTGATAGAAATTAGACAATTTAAAACAATCAATTAATAATCTATCTATCTATCTATATATATATATATATATATATTATTAAATAAAAATATTTATATTTTATCTTGATATTTTTAACTTAGTGATCTTATTTATTAAGGTTTTATTTTCTAATTGCTTCTAATATGATTCAAATTGATCAAATATGTCATAACCAAATATTATACATCAAAAGAATGAATCTTATCACTATATTGATAATATTAAATTAGAATAGCTATTACTAAAGATAAAAAAATTAGAAAGTCTTAAAACAAGACTAAAGATTTAAAAGGCATTGATAAGAGTGAAAAAGGCTCCACACTTGCCTCTATTTATACTATCTAACTAGAAGCTACATTGCAATGTTTTATAAGTCTTCCAACACATGTCCAATTTGTTAGAGACATGTTTAACTTATAAGATAAGTTTCTTATAAGTATGCAACATAATTGGCTTATACCACAAGCTACCAACACGTGACATATAGATAACTTTTTGGCTAAGTTTCTAACCTACCAATCAACTACAAACAAATATAAAGTCAAATATACATCTATGGAGCTTTTAAGAAGCTTTGTCATAAAATAATATCAAATATACGTACATTTTTTTTCTATCTAGTACATCTTATGTAGGTAAATATGTATATCCATAATATTATATCTCTTTTTAGAGGAGATTTCTATAAGGAGTGGCAATCATATGTTCAAGAAGTCCAAATGTGGTGAATCATGTTTACTACATATTCTAATTTTTATTCCTTTGCAGGTAGATGATAGGTCCTGTCACCCATCAATAGTATTCTATATCAAGGCAAGAATATTACCTCGTTATTTGATCATTATTGAAGCCTTTATTACCAAGGGAGAAAGAATTTGCTTTAAGAAAGCACTAAGCTTTTAGCTATTACTAATTGATCAATCAACTCTCAAGATAAAAAAGAAAAAAAAAACACCAAGTTTATATATAAAATTATCTTTGTAGGAGCAATTAAATCAATACATAAGTCCTAAGTACCAAAGATCACCCACAATATGATAAAAATATTATAAAATCTTATATATCCTTAAGGTGAATTTTTCTCGAACTTCCACAATTCATATCTCATGATTGGATCATCTAAATAAACCAAAATTTTATATGGTATTGATATACTTTTAACAACTACCACAACAAATTTCAATTATAAATTTATTACGGATCTTGAGATACTACCAAAATCCTAACAATAGCTTCAAATCCTTGCTTACATACATTAGTGTGCAATTTTCTTCATATCTTATAAACTAAATACTCAAATACCACAAAATTTTGATATATAGCTTCTTAGCCTAATAACACACATTTTTGGAAATTGTAAGCCAAAAATTTATCCAAAAACTGAAGATATGGCTCCAACCATTACTATCAATAAAATGACTCATTTACTATGTTTGAATTACATATGTTGTCTTCAATACTCAATAATTCCTTCATACAAACTTTAAATACAAAAATTCTTTTGTAAAAGATGTAGGTCTTAAAATTATTCTTACAACCCCATCTCTTGATCTCTAAAAGCTATCATAAAATTCCTTGTATCTTCAAAAGAGTAATAATATATCTTAGATAGACATGTCAACTTTGAACGGCTATAATTTCATAACATTGATTCCAAATCTTCTAAAATTTGAACAAAAATTGTAGTCTAAATCTTAAACCTTACAATTTTTTCTTTTGATTCTCAAATGCCCATTTTAAAGTTGCCAAAATCCTTGTTAAGATTGTACATAGCCTCTTGAGAATTTATTGGGCATAACAATCAACTAATAGAGATGAAGATCTTCATCTTTTGCCTTCATCCATCCATACACCTTACTTTCATCCTTCCAAATAAGTTTCTTAGAGGTTTGGATCTCTATCTTTGAACCATAATCTTCTCTTTAAATTTTATAATAAATATCTAAATCCTATATAATTTAAATATTATAATCAAAATAGATAAATTTTAAAATATATTTTCTTAAATCAACTCTCTTTAAATTAATCTACTAATTATTCTAATATACATCAATAAATATTAATATATTATATATTTTAGATGATTTTTACATACTATGATTTTTTTTAGTATGACATCATAATTCTTTTTAAATAAAACATTTGAAATACCATCAGCTTAGGTATGCAATTTTGTGTCTTGAGGTTTGATTTTGAACTTGATACATATTTGATCCTCTTTGGATATCAATTTTTGATATTATGAAGTAATTTTTACTAAAACATGTTTTTAATCCCCCTTTAAAGATGCCAATATTAATTATTTATCTCATTTATTTTTATTTGGCTCATTCATGCCCTTACATAGTAAGTAGGAGTTTCTTTTAAAAGAAAGAAATATTAGCGCATATTAATTTTTACTACATCTTTGTCTATTGTATATATTTTAAAAATAATTTGCCAAATATTTCATTTATACTTTTATAATAAAATATTACCTTTCTACTTTCACCTAATGCTTGTTTTATTATACGACAAAGTGTTTGATACCATGACCTTAGAAGAGACTCTTGATGCTTGATGATATTATTGGAGGTAGGAAATAGTTGTTCCAAATGTTTTATTTGGTGATATTATAGGAGGTAAAAACTAGGTGTTTGAAATATCACAATCTTGCAACATCTACTATTTTTATTGAAGCAAAAATAGGTGAGATAAATTTAGACTTATATATATATAAATTAGCCAAGTTTTAGAGCAATTGAATAGTTTAGCAAGGAGAAATATTTGTTGGGAGATCAACATTTAAAGTGGAGAATGAAAACAATAAATATTTCAGAGGTTTTAGAAGCTTTTCTTTCAATTGATAGGTTTGATTTTTCTCAAATTTTATGTGATTATAAATTGCATGTGGATTGAAGTCTAAGTGAAATTTTAGTTTAGATCAATAATTCAATTAATATTTATTGAGGTTTCAAAAAAACTATAGTAATTGATTAAGATTTATTTATGATTTTTTGAGATTATTTAGGATTTATTTAGGATTAGATTAGAATTTAAAATTTGATTAAGATTTAATTAGGATTGATTTAGAACTTGATTAGAATTTGATTAGAATTTGACTTAAAATTATGGTTTAGATTTTTTTTAGGATTTAATTTAGGATTAAGATTTAATATTTAATTAGGATTTCATTCAATTTAGAAATTAGGATTTGATTCAGATTTTATTAAGATTTTATTAAAATTTCGTTTAAGATTTTTTTAGGATTTCATTAGAATATGGTCTAAGATTAGGATTTAGGATTTTATGAGGATCTTACTACAGTTTAATCTAAGGTTTTGTTGGAATTTTATTAAGATTTTATTATGATTTG